TGCTGGTATGACAATGAGTGGGGCGCGGCGAAAATTGCTGGCAGCAGAGATTTAAGCACTTGTGTCTCTTCAATGCTACAGGATAGTACGCCACTATTATCCTTTTGAAGAGATTCTATAATGTTGAGTTCACTGAGACTGAATGCTGGTTTGATTCCATCGCTGAGACCAGACTCACACATTGTCCAATCTTCACTGATGGCTCCAAAACTGACTCTGGGTCATGATCTGAGGTCTTTTTCGAAGTTAATGGAGATAACCTTCACTTTTCTGTAGGGGAATATGCTTCGGTCTTCCAGGCTGAGGTAATTGCAATACTCAAAGCCATGGACTACGTGGTGGAACATAGGTGGAGAGGAAGGAGTTTACGTGATTGCAGTGACAACCAAGCTGCACTTAAGGCATTGGACAGCCCTCTATTTAAGTATTTCCAAACTAGTTCGGCAATGCAAGTCTCGACTAAAATATGATGGTGAACATAACGACGTTGTTTTACTCTGGGTGCCAGGTCACTCAGGAGTACCTGATTATGAGACATCTGATCATTTGGCCAGAGTTGGCTCAGACCAGGCACTCCTCTGTCCGCAACCAGTTTTAGCACTCCCACCTTCGGCAATCGAAGCCACCATCAGAAACTGGGTGAATACTCCGCTCATCAAAGACTGAGAGGCATTGAGGGGATGCAGGTGGGCAAAACTCATGTTGCCTTCAATCTCACAAGGTCTATCTATTTTTTTGCTCTCACTGAGCAGACGACACTGCAGAAAACTTGCTGGACTGCTGACTGGTCACTTCACGTGGCACAAACACCTGACTGTGATAGGCGTAAATGATAAGTCTATTTGCCCATCTTGCCTTGAAGAAGATGAGACGATGGAACACTTTTTGTGCTTCTTGCTTGCTTGGTTATTTGTCATCGATTTTTTTACAATCATTCTTTTCTCTATTGTCAATTTCTGAATTAAAAGTTTGGCGTAAAAAGCTTAGCCGTTTTGATGTTTTAAGTTTTGTGTTTTAAAAATGTGATAAATATTTTTCGCCTCACTTTAAAACTCGGAGCGATAAAAATAAAAATGATGCCATTAATACAAATAAACTATTTTACATATACTCCACGCGCAAAGTCATGAGTGAGCCGAACATTTGATGAGTTTATGGTGAAGATAATGTAAATAACGCTAGCGCCCGCAGTGCTCTTAAAAAATATAACTCCTCCGAGCGAGAGAGTATTTTGATGTATTTACGAGCTCTATTTTTTAAAACCTACAAGTGTGTAATCACATTATTTTTATAAATAGAACACAAGAAAATATTTTTTAGTTTTTGAATTCACCCGCGATGCAAATTCACATTGTTAGATCTAATTTTCACATTTCATTTTTTACGAGCTTTGGGAATATTTAGAAATGTATCAGCAGGGAGTCCACCGAAACCTGTAAATTTTTGAAAGGGGTCTACGAGAAAAAAAGTTTGGGAACCTCTGGGCTAAACGCACTGAATTTCGCATCAAACTCAACAGGAGAGATTTATCTCGACTAAATGCCGTTTACACAGGGTACTGGGCCATGGGAATCCACGCTGCAAGACTAAGACTGAAACACAAAATCTCTTGTCGCAGCCCAGTGCTATGTATTTAGGACGAGAATCAGGCTTCTAGACAAATACTGATACTGCGGTTTAACAGAATAAGTGATATTAACTCATTGTAACTACTTAAGTTCTTGAACTCCACATGCTGCAATTTAGAGAAATAACCGACTTCTGCTGGTTTTTTCGTGTTTTCTTTTCAGGTTAAATAGCGAGTAGTGGTTTTAAAACGGCATGTTTAATACGGTTGCCAGACCTAAAATGCCGAAAGAGGTACAGATAAGAACAAATTGGGGACGTGTGGTACAACCGAGACAGAAAAAGGGGTATTTTTCGGGGGACAAATAAAAGTAAATGTATTCAACAAAAAATTAATTTATTCGCTTATGGAACAACAAAACAGTTCATAAATAACTGGCTAAACAGAATGTAGTACCACAGCCACAACCTTTTCCGCTAGCTACATCAGCTACATCGGAAATAATACACCATAACCACGGCTACATATTGTGGGCAGTTTAGAGCATTTAGAAAATTTTAACTTTTAACTTGCTACATACCACAGCCGCACCTGGTTAGGCAGTAAAAATTCAATATCATTTGAACAAAACCAAGTAACAGTGGCGATCAAAACTGAGAGCAGGGTGATTTTATTTTAAATATTTACAATGTTTTTCAAGTTAATTTTTTTGTTATTTTTTATAAAACTATTTCTCATGCTTTAGCCAAATCCAAAAAAAAATAATTCAAACTTGCAAACTTAATACAAACTGGAAAAAAATAAAAAAACTTCATTAAAAATTTTGAGCTTTTAAATGTGAATTCTTGGATATGCATGGCCCATGAAAATTTAGTAAAAAAGTGCAAGTTTTAATCCGCGGTTTTTTCATATAAGAAGCGCAATTTATAAAGGTTTTCGTAGCAATGGGGAATAAAAAGTCAAAATGGGGTATGTCCCCNGCTAAACGCACTGAATTTCGCATCAAACTCAACAGGAGAGATTTATCTCGACTAAGTGCCGTTTACACAGGGTACTGGGCCATGGGAATCCACGCTGCAAGACTAAGACTGAAACACAAAATCTCTTGTCGCAGCCCAGTGCTATGTATTTAGGACGAGAATCAGGCTTCTAGACAAATACTGATACTGCGGTTTAACAGAATAAGTGATATTAACTCATTGTAACTACTTAAGTTCTTGAACTCCACATGCTGCAATTTAGAGAAATAACCGACTTCTGCTGGTTTTTTCGTGTTTTCTTTTCAGGTTAAATAGCGAGTAGTGGTTTTAAAACGGCATGTTTAATACGGTTGCCAGACCTAAAATGCCGAAAGAGGTACAGATAAGAACAAATTGGGGACGTGTGGTACAACCGAGACAGAAAAAGGGGTATTTTTCGGGGGACAAATAAAAGTAAATGTATTCAACAAAAAATTAATTTATTCGCTTATGGAACAACAAAACAGTTCATAAATAACTGGCTAAACAGAATGTAGTACCACAGCCACAACCTTTTCCGCTAGCTACATCAGCTACATCGGAAATAATACACCATAACCACGGCTACATATTGTGGGCAGTTTAGAGCATTTAGAAAATTTTAACTTTTAACTTGCTACATACCACAGCCGCACCTGGTTAGGCAGTAAAAATTCAATATCATTTGAACAAAACCAAGTAACACTGGCGATCAAAACTGAGAGCAGGGTGATTTTATTTTAAATATTTACAATGTTTTTCAAGTTAATTTTTTTGTTATTTTTTATAAAACTATTTCTCATGCTTTAGCCAAATCCAAAAAAAAATAATTCAAACTTGCAAACTTAATACAAACTGGAAAAAAATAAAAAAACTTCATTAAAAATTTTGAGCTTTTAAATGTGAATTCTTGGATATGCATGGCCCATGAAAATTTAGTAAAAAAGTGCAAGTTTTAATCCGCGGTTTTTTCATATAAGAAGCGCAATTTATAAAGGTTTTCGTAGCAATGGGGAATAAAAAGTCAAAATGGGGTATGTCCCCCCAATGGGGTACCTCTGACAACCCTAATGCATAAGTGTTAATTAGAGCTGTGAAACTCGCCACTTAAACCAACCAACTAACCAGACCACTGGCTTTGTAATCCGAGGTCGCTGGTTCATATGCCAGTTACCGCAGCTAAAGAAGTCTGATGAGGAGATGTGATGATCTCCGAAATAGCAGCTATAACTTCTACATTAGTAAATTATTGTTACATTTCCACAACATTTTTTATATAAAACGGCCTCAAGCTCAATAAAACTGTTAATATAATTGTAAAAAAGGCCATAAATAACAAAAAAATAAAAATAAAAAGCAAAGTTTAAAAAATAACTTACAAAATCGGACCTTTGAACTAATAGTTAAAAAGTGGACGAACGTAAAAAAACATATTATTTTTTTTTTTAAAAAGCTAGTTGCGCTTCCCACGTTGGTCATTTCATAGATAAAATGTTTTAAGGGTTAATAACCAGAATTGTATGTGCCATCCTATGATATTTACTATGATACAAATAGGAAATTTAAGCCCCGTGGTTTATCAGCAGTATCTACGAGTACATGTTGCCATATCACGTAAGAAAATTTACCTTACCACCTCTTCAAGTGAAGGGGGTCTGCGATTGAAATTTAACAAAAACTTAATGATTTTATTTCTATACATACAATGTACATTGTGTGTAAGTTTGTACTACTTATGAATGTTGAATGCAAGAATGATATAATACAAGATTGCGCCGATCAGAGGATTTTTGAGAATAACTTTTGTGTGACGTCACACTGGTGCAATTGCGAGAGAGAAATGCCAAAACGTGAGCAAGAATGGAAGAAGAAGAAAAAATGTTGCAAGGAAAACGTAAACAAGTTGCACAAGTGTGACGTCATGCAAACAACGATTCTGTCAAATTCGTTAAGAGAGGAATAGCGGTCCGAGATCGGCGCAACCTTTGTATTCTCTCAATCGTGTATTTACTCCATAGCAATTTATTTGATGACTTTGTACCATTTCCGAGAGGATGCATGAGTGTGGCTTCTTTGGAAACAAATATTCTATGTAACTAAAACATAACTTATAGCTGAACTTTTAAATTCATAATAATTTGGCCACTGTTTTGTATTAGGTACGTAACAGCGCGGTAAGATGCCGCTTGAATTAGCGCCTGGCGACCTTAACCACTGGTGTATTACCTCATACCAGCACTAAAAATATTATTTTCAATATCTTCACTAGTGAAGTGCTTCATGCACACATAGCTCGATTAGGTGTTTAATGCATCTCCCCGCCGGCAGAACTGCTTCCACTTTTCCGCCAGATTTTCGTCCGTAGGAAACGAAAAAAAAACTTATATCGCACGCTTTCCTTTTGTTTTTACTATTACACTTTGCCACGGCGCACTTATACACGGCACTTATATACATACATACATATTCACCTAATTTTATTTATATACTAAAACAACCCATTATTAAGTACGAGTAGACATGAAAAATGTTTTGGACAAGTGGTGTTGGTGTTAGTTCAGTAGTAAATGTATTTCATGTTAGTGTTGTCATCGTGAACATATTTTTGACGCGAGATATGCAGCAACCACAACCGAAACTCGAGAACAGATGTTAGCCCCAGATGCATGTTGCATGGCGGCTGGTTCTTCACCTAAAAACGTAATTCTATAGCATTTAGATGTAAAAACATTACATGTATATCAAATTTACATACCATTTAGGACGTGGACCATAACGGTACCAGATATATCGTTGCCAAGCATGCAGGTATAGTTGCCAGTATCTTGTCGATTAGCATTTGCTATATAGAGGCGGCTTAATGCTCTTCCCGGCAGCATATCAGTCTTAACACTAACAGAAGAAAAGATAAAATTTGTTTCTATCATTTCGCTTTTGGATATACACGATAACAACATTTAAATAAATAAGTAACGTACAAATACTATAAGATTTTTAAGCTTTTTTAGAAAAGCCACCACCAAATTTAATTCAAACAAGTAAGAAAGTCTAAGTTCGGGCGGAGCCGAACATTAAATACCCGGCGCAAGTATTAAATATACGTTTTCCACCTTTCCGAAAGCTACCGCTACATGATAAGCCGGGGTGTATAAATTTTAAGTAAATTAGCGTCCTTAAATTTCGAAATATTGAAATTTCGGACATTTCTGAAATTTACCGTTATATGAAANGTAAAAAATGTTGTACTAGTAGAATTTCTAGCGCTTAATAGCAGCACGTCCTTCCACTAAATAATAAGAAGCTAAATATCGAATTCGAATCTAAACGTAAAAGTCCGTTAGACATTTAAATTCATAATGCCACTTGAAACTCGCTCAGTAAGAAAAGATCTTACGAGGAACCAGCACACACCTTTACAAGCACAAAATACACCGTCGTTGTCGCTGATTGAAAAACTCGAAGCAAATATGGGTATGCAAAGAGATGCAATTATTACAGAGCTCTCTGTTATAGTGAAAGAGTCAGAGGAAATAGTAATGCAGAGGATAAGCGACTTTAATGCTGAAATATTTAATATGAAGTTGTCAATAGCGGCAATGGACAGTAGGGTGTCGGCGGTTGAGAACTCTTGCGCCGATATAGTCTCTCTTCGCAATGAGTTGTTCGCTGTTCGTAGTGAACTAAGCGAGTTGGAAAATAATGCAGTGGCTACGGATGTTATAATTAATGGTATCCCTCCAGAAAGTAGTGAAAACTTGAGGGAAGTTTTTGGAAAACTCTGCACTGCTGTTGAGCACCCACTCCCAATTTTATGTGACGTATTCCGCATACGTTCGGCTAAAGCTGGCCAGCGCAAAAACAATAATACACCTGTTTTGGTAAAGCTTGTCACTGCATTTGACCGCAGTCAGCTCTTCAAATCGATTGCTGGGTTTTGCAAAAAAAATAAGAGGTCATTAATACTCTCGGACCTCGGGCTGCCTGGCTATGTACAGATCTATGTACATGAGAGCTTGACGAGATCTGCGCGGGAGGTTATGATGTATGCTCCTATCGTCTGCTTTCCCTATTCGGGGGAAAGTTTATATTAGGCTAAAACACCACGAAGAGGCAAAAGTCGTGTTCAACAAAAGAGACGTTGATGCTTTTCTCAGCGCTAAGAAATAAGGTCTAATTATTTACTTAAAATATGATTTATTTATTTAGATATTTGTGTTTTTTTAACTATTGCCTAATGCTTCCGTCTTTTTTAGTTCTAAGTTTTAATTCTCTACTGCCTCTGTTGGATCCTTCTCAGCTTATTTTTCCTCTCAACGTATGTATCTGAGTACTATGTAGTTCTTGCTTGTCTGCCACCAAATTTCTAATGTGTTGCTATTGCCCTTCTCCTCACCCGACACTTACATGCAGCTGTCCCGTTTTTAAAGTGTTATGATGGTTTCGTACCATATTAAAAAACCATAAATTACTGATTAATACTTTGCGCATCCGGTACAGAGGTTTTAACATAGTCCATTTTAATGCTCGGAGCGTGACATCCGAAAAGTTAGATTACGTTAGGGACGTGTTTGGTGATTCATCTGTTGATGTTATCTGTGTGACAGAGACGTGGTTCAATCCTGACATAACGGACTTCTTTTATGGTATCACTAACTTCAATATAGTGCGGATGATCGAAAGCATAAGAGAGGCGGAGGTACAGCGATATACTGTAGAGCTAATTTGAAGATTCGTGTGTTGACAAAATCGGAAAACTTGGACACAGAGTTTGTCGTTGCTGAAGTATCGGATGGTTTATCTAAAATACTTGTGTCCTGTGTATATAACCCTCATAGGAGCTATCCATTGGATTCGTTTTTTTGTAAACTTAGTTTATTTTTTATTGACTATGAGCGTTATATTA